AAAGAGACTGTAGATCCAATTGTTTTTTTAAGCTTTAGAAGAATACCTATAAGATCTTTTTTCAACTCTAATCTGAACATGTAATATAATGTAAAAAGGTAGGGCACTTTGCATTTGGAAGCATAAAAGGGACGTACAAATTATATAATTCCGATCTACTTACAAATATGTGTAAGATTTGTAACATGATTATGGACTATCTGTTTGAAATTAGTTTGTAGTCTGGGCTTGACGTATGCATTTGTGCACAATTTCAAGTCTTATGCTGGATGAATGTTAGTTCTACAGACAATATAGTATGTGGTAACTGCTGCAGAATACAAAGACTGTATCTGACAGCAACCAGTCAAAGAAAAACTATCCACAGTTACCAATTATAAGAAAACTGTCCTCCGTTAAAACTGACCGCAGTCGCAAACTATAGGAAAGCTATCATCCATATATATAGTAATATATATGTAATAATATAGTAATTATTACTAAAAGCTCTTCTTAAATATTGAGGCAAGTAGAGGTTAGTAATGTGAACCAAAAAGGGATAGAAAGAGAAGCTACTGTGCTAAACTAATTAGCACAGGTGCCTCCTAGCTGGTTACTGAGGAACTCAAGGGCATCAACCCTAAAGCAATTGAAGAAAATACTAGAATGGAGCAGGGACAGCTCCTCACAAATTTGTGGGTGGTCCCACCTCCAGAAAAGAGAACCTATAAATAGTTAAGATTCCACATACGTGGTATTAGCCTTTATTAATATATATTGCCAAAATACACATAAATAATAATATAGTGATGTGCAGACCCAAGTGAAAAATCAAAAAGAAATTGTTAAAAATGTCTAGAGTCAAATCCCTAGTGTTAATGTCCTGCAACAAAGGACCCCATGTAGTCAATGTATATAGCTTTAAATAGGGTAGGAAATAGATGGGTATCCCTATTGCAAACGGACATGAGTACTGCCTGGGGAGATAAGAGGACTAAGAACCCATAAGAGTTAAATCCATAAGAGTTAAATATCCACCTATTGTCTAAGGCTAAGGTGATCATTGTATAAAACGTACAGTCACACATATGGGAGTATTAGATATAGAGATCTGTGTGCAAGGATAAATAGAAGAAGCATGCCACCTCATAAAGAATTCTTGTATACTATGCTCATAGAGAGAGTACAGTATATATATTTAATCCATTTAGGCTCTAATCAAGTGCTGAGTCTAAAGATCCTGGAATCCATGTATCTTGGAATCCAGGCTTACAAATATGCAAAAAGGATTTAACAAATTTGTGGACTACTGTAAACCCCTAGATGTTCCATGTACTTACCTAGGCAGACAGGAGGACTGGGTCTTCCATGTATACACACTTACACACACACACACACACACTTACACACACTCCATGTATACACACTGTGGCGGAACCAACCTCGTCACTATGCACTGGAGAAGCCTGGTTGCCAGCCTCCTGCCATGTGACTATGGCCCCTTGGATGTATTGCCCTTTAAAGACATGATTTGGGCATAATGGATTTGTGTTGTGCTGCTGCTGGCCCTTTTAAGAACCATCTGGGGACATACTGTGGAGTTACTGGGTGGCCACCATTTCCTGTATCAGAAGCACATGGTGAGAACAATGGATGGCGGCCATTTTAACTCCCAGACACTGTTTGGACTTTTCAACACGGTGCCATCTCGCCAGTATTTGTTGCACAGAGACATCGTGCGGTGGTTTTGGACTATACAGCAGGGGACACATTATACAGTGATTGTTTTTTATTTAGCCTGTATATGTTCTGCAGAATCTGCATTAAACTGTATTTTCCAAAGTACTGAACGGATCTGGGTGAATTTTGGATATGTGGTTCACCCAGATCCCCCAGTTCCAATTATATACTTTTTATGGGGTTATTGCATGTTTTGGGGTCCCTGTGATGTGTTTTATGAAACTGTATTTCTCTGGCTGTGATAATTAGATTACCCATTGTGTTCAGTAATCATATCACAGCCAGAGGGGAGGATTTTGTGTGGGAGTGTCTGGGTGTATTGTATGGATTGATTGGCTGTTTTGTAACGCCCTGTGGGCTGTACTATGTTTGTGGATTGGGAATAAAAGAGACTGTATGTGACAGTACAGGGAGTTCCTGTTTTAACCCTCAAAGTGAAGTGTCGTCTCATTATTGGGGGAAGGATTTATTGTATGCTGTTCCAGTTTGACTGCTAGGAGAGTAAACCTATTCGTATGGTTCCTATTCAACTGTCTACAGCATTCATATGCTTGAGAGAAGGTATACGCTTCTCTGGTTCGGTGATTGTGGTGTCTGCTGCAGTGCTTGGAGTCCTCAGGAAGCGCTAGGAGCATCTTTCAACGGAGGTACCCAGTCGGGGTGCCAGGTGATCCGTTACATTGGTGGCAAGCGGTGGGATGGCGTCCTAGTGCGAGGTAAAGCAGCTCGGAGACACAGTTCGTGGATTTACAAATTGAGGGCAACGCTAGTACCCGTACAGCGACCCTATCTACAAAAGAACTAACTTCAGCAGAGCAAGCATGGCGTATGACTACACTCAGGAGGAGTTTGACAGAGAGGTTAATGAGGTGCTGTCTACCTTTGGACCCAACCCCCCAGAGAGAGCCGTGCAGCTCGCCAGGAAACTAGTAGGAGAATACCTGCAATCTCTAGTAGATTTGGCCAAAAAGGAGTCCCAGGGAGCCAAAGGTGTCGTCCTTCCTCCCCAGCGGCAGTGTGTACCCCAGGGAGCAGAAGGTGTTGTCCTTCCTCCCCAGCGGCAGTGTGAGTCCCAGGGAGCCAAAGGTGTCGTCCTTCCTCCCCAGCGGCAGTGTGTGTCCCAGGGAGCTGAAGGTGCCGTCCTTCCTCCCCAGCGGCAGTGTGTATCCCAGGGAGCTGAAGGTGCGTCCTTCCTCCCCAGCGGCAGTGTGTACCCCAGGGAGCAGAAGGTGCCGTCCTTCCTCCCCAGCGGCAGTGTGTACCCCAGGGAGCTGAAGGTGTCGTCCTTCCTCCCCAGCGGCAGTGTGTACCCCAGGAAGCAGAGACCGTCTGTCTCGCACCCCAGCCGCAGGACAAAATATTGAAAGGGGAGACAGTTGGTCCCCCTCTCCACCAGCAAAGAGAGTGTCAGGGAGAGGAGCAGGTTACCCCCTCTCCCCAGCGGCAGTCTACAGTTCAGAGAGAGGAGCTTGTTACACCCTCTCTCCAGCGGCAGCCCAACCCACCAAGGGGAGATGTTCAGCCCCACAACTGTGCAGATGGGACAGTGGTCTCTGCACATGCACCACCGGGGGTAGGGACAGTCGGTCCTGTCCCCCAGCAGCAGGACTGTTTAGGCAAAGGGGAGACAGTCTGTCACCCCCTCCAGCAACCAGGCTCCAACCAGACTACTCCTGTGGTAGTGCTGGCACCAGGACAGAGTAACGCTGGTCTCTGCCCACTCAGCAACCCACCCAGTATGCTTACCAGTCACCCACACAGCCATGGTGAGGCACCTGGACACGGACAAAGTTCTCCTCTACCCAGGTGTAGTAGCCAGTTATTGTGGGTGGGCTGTATTACTGATTGTGTTTTGTGGGTGGGCTGCTGGACTAACAAGGGCACTGACCGGCAGGAGGTCAGATACCCTGTTAGTCTGTTTGGTAAAGGGGAGAAGTGTGGCGGAACCAACCTCGTCACTATGCACTGAAGAAGCCTGGTTGCCAGCCTCCTGCCATGTGACTATGGCCCCTGGGATGTATTGCCCTTTAAAGACATGATTTGGGCATAATGGATTTGTGTTGTGCTGCTGCTGGCCCTTTTAAGAACCATCTGGGGACATACTGTGGAGTTACTGGGTGGCCACCATTTCCTGTATCAGAAGCACATGGTGAGAACAATGGATGGCGGCCATTTTAACTCACAGACACTGTTTGGACTTTTCAACACGGTGCCATCTCGCCAGTATTTGTTGCACAGAGACATCGTGCGGTGGTTTTGGACTATACAGCAGGGGACACATTATACAGTGATTGTTTTTTATTTAGCCTGTATATGTTCTGTAGAATCTGCATTAAACTGTGTTTTCCAAAGTACTGAACGGATCTGGGTGAATTTTGGATATGTGGTTCACCCAGATCCCCCAGTTCCAATTATATACTTTTTATGGGGTTATTGCATGTTATTGCATGTTTTGGGGTCCCTGTGATGTGTTTTATGAAAACTGTATTTCTCTGGCTGTGATAATTAGATTACCCATTGTGTTCAGTAATCATATCACAGCCAGAGGGGAGGATTTTGTGTGGGAGTGTCTGGGTGTATTGTATGGATTGATTGGCTGTTTTGTAACGCCCTGTGGGCTGTACTATGTTTGTGGACTGGGAATAAAAGAGACTGTATGTGACAGTACAGGGAGTTCGGGTTTTAACCCTCAAAGTGAAGTGTCGTCTCATTATTGGGGGAAGGATTTATTGTATGCTGTTCCAGTTTGACTGCTGGGAGAGTAAACCTATTCGTATGGTTCCTATTCAACTGTCTTCAGCATTCATATGCTTGAGAGAAGGTATACGCTTCTCTGGTTCGGTGATTGTGGCGTCTGCTGCAGTGCTTGGAGTCCTCAGGAAGCGCTAGGAGCATCTTTCAACGGAGGTACCCAGTCGGGGTGCCAGGTGATCCGTTACACACACTTACCACAAGTCTTCCATTTTAGCCCAGAGTATCTCTATGTATGCCCCTCGCGGACAGGTGCTTGGGTAAATATAGAGGATGAGCAGGTATATTCATGAAGAATTTGCATTTTATTCTAAACACTGTGTGAGACAGGTCTCCCCTACAAACCCTTTTCCCTTCCTCCCAATATTCTCTACAAGTGTGGGACACCCAGGCCCGTAAAAACCCATTTATGTCCAGTCTTACTAGTGATACACAGATTACCTCTCCTTGTAAGGCAGTGGTGTATTCTGGATATTTGCTGCACAAGGCATGTCAAAACTCGGGGACCCCCTGCCCCATCTAAATTTGCCCCACTCATACCTGTTTAAGATGAACACGCAGTTTGACTGACAGACACACTCTGACACACCCATTCACTGACAGGCACACACTCTCAGATTCACTTACAGTGACATATGTTCACATGCACTGACCGACATATGACCGACAAACACTGGCAGACACACATGTTTACTGACACACACACTCACTAACAGATACAGACATACACTCACTCGGACACACAGTGACAGACATGCACACATTCACTGACAGACAGAAACACACACATTCACTGACAGACACACACACACACACACACTCACTGACAGACACACACACAGATTCACCCTGATACTGACACATTTACACACTTACAAAAGTATTATAGATATTTTAAAAATATTAATTTTAATCCACCCAACCTACCTTTGGGAGAGCTGGAGTGGATTCTTCCCCCCAGTGGAGCTGGCTGCTGGGCTGCTGGGATGGTGGCTGGCTAGGCTGGCTTGCTGCTGCTCTGGCTGGGCTTGCTGGGTGGCAGGACGTGCAGGCTTTCAGTTGTGCCAGCAAGGGAGCTGTAATCCTCCTGCTCAGCTCCCTTGCGTGCCGCTCAGTGGATGACGGGAGCTGGGTGGCATCATATCCAGCATCACTGCGGGCCACGAGGAAGCTGAGCAGGAAGAGCTCAGAGGGCTCCCTCATGCCGCACCCCCCTCCCCCCGGCCACACTTGAAGCATTTTAAAAACTCAGGGGGCCTTGAGGTGGCTAGCTTGCCAGCTCTTGGGCCCCCCATGAAAGAGGCTAACAGGGCACCTTTGGGGGTGGCTTTTTTTGCCACCCCCCTAATAGTGCCGCCCATGCAAATGCCTTGTTAGTTTCATGGCAAATACACCCCTGTTGCAGGGTTGGATGACAATGCGTGTATGAGTTCTTAGATATCCACAGAGGTAATAATGTCCTTTAAGGTTATAAATGACCATTATCTTATCCCCCAGAGAGAGTTTAATGAATTTCTCCACACACAACATCTTTTACAATCACAACCAGTCATGTTGGGTATACATATCCCAGAGCTATTGCTTCTCACACATGTACTTGCCAAACATTGTATTACTGAGCACTACTTATTACTAGGTGATTTTTAGAGCTGTGTTCCTCCACATAAAGTTCTCCTTTTCCGAGGAAGAATGGTCACGCTCACATGAGCACCTATGTGGTCTTAGTCATAACGTAGTAAAACAAAAAAAAAGTTAAATAAGAATCCCTTAACATGATAACCAAATAAAATATTATTAAAAAAAAAAAAAAAACACTGGCCAATGTCACATATGAAAACAATGCAAAATGTTTGCTGAGTATCTCACTAGTATTATTTATAAAGCACTATATATTCCTCAGTACCGTACAATGGGTGGACTAACAGACACATATTTGTAACCAGACAAGTTGGACACACAGGAACAGAGGGGATTAAGGGCCCTGCTCAATGAGCTTACTTGCTAGAGGGAGTGGGGTATAGTGGCACAAAAGGTAAGGGTAGGGCAGAGGAGTAGGTTACTAAGGTAATATTCATTGAGGGCTTAGTGTTTTGTTTTGATGACAGTTTCAATCAAGGTGCTGGGAGAGAAAGTTGTTGACAGTTTAATTGATATGCTTTCCTGAAGAAGTAAGTTTTCAAAGACTTTTTGAAGGAGTGGACACTGGGTGAAAGTCTAACAGAGAGGGGAAGGCCATTCCATAGGAACAGTGCAGTCCTAGAGAAGTCTTTATGGGGGAGCATCAGATCTAGGAGTACGAACAGAAGATAGACATAGGTCTTCGGCAGAGTGTAGGAGCGTGTTTGTGTAATAGGGAGGATAGGTAGGTTGCAGCAGCATTGTTTAGAAGTTTGTAAGCAAGGACACGGATCTTAAATTGAGCCCTTTCTCTTAAGGGAAGTCAATGTAAGGACTGACAGAGTGAAAGTTCATGGGAGGTGCAGGCGGACAGGAAGATGAGCCTCACCGCTGCAATTGTTATAGATTGTAACGGGGTAGGTTGAGGAACATGTAAGACCACTGAGAAGCAGATTGCAGTAGTCAAGGCGAGAAAGGACAGCAGCATGGACAAGTACCTTAGCCACATCAGGCGTTAAATAGGGAAGGATGCGAGCCATGTTTTTGAGATGGAAGCGGCAGGATTTGACAATTGACTGGATATGAGGGGTGAAGGAGAGGTTGAAGTCAAAGAGAACACGGAGGCAGCGAGCCTGCAATGTAGAGCTTATGGTGACTCACACAATAGAACATATAAAAAAATAGCAAATAAGATTGCTTTATTAATTTTGTCCCTTTTTATATTGCTGTTACACTTTATAGACTATAAACAATGTTGATTACTACATTTTTATGCTACCACAGTTTATGTTGTTACAATAATATCTTTTCTAGGAGCCTATACATGTTTCTTTGAATTATATTAATGAATACAGTTAATGTATTTAAAAATATATATTTTTTAATTAATAGGAGAGAGACAAGTGGGGAGAATGGACTAGTGGTGGCTATTGGGAGAGACTGGAGGGGAGAATTGACTAGTGGTGGCAAATAGGAGAGATAGGAGGGGATCACGGACTAGTGGTGGCTAATGGGAGAAATAGGGAAAGGAGGATTACAATTGCCCAATTAATCAAATTATCTGAAAACTATATTTAAATTGTATAGATATGTTATAAATTGAAGAGGTGGCATGTGTATGGAAAGGTGTTGAAAAGAGATACTACAATTGGGGAGCAAAAACCATGGGAATGCAGAGTGCAGACCACATTTAAACCACATGTACACACATACACTGTCACATGACACAATGCACCCCTCAAACAATCACACCTACACACATAACAAATACTACCCTGTTTTTTTTAATATAAATTCTTTATTTTTGACATTTTTTTCATTTCATTTCTTTTTTTTGGGGGGGGGGGAGGTTGCAGTTGTTGGTACAGATTTCTTTTAGTGAGTGTTTTGTAAACATTTTAATTTCGTATATGGTTTCTCAGTTCTCAGTTTGCCGTGCTTGTCGCAGATGTATTTTTGGTAGGCAGGGGGTGGGGGGGGGTTTACATAAGAGAAAGGGAGGGAGGAGTTCCAGGTACAATTCTATGTTCATTCTGTTGCAGTTCTGTGTTTGTACTGACTGTCTGGTTCGAATTGTGTGAACCCATGTCTTTTGGTGCCAGTGTGCCTGGTTGCCGGTTGAACCCTGGGTTGTTACTAAGTGGTAAGCTTCTTGCCTCTTGATGCGGTAAGAGGTCACTTGGGTTTGGCCTGTGCTGTAGACTGTTCTCGTAGGCGGGGTGCTGGGCTTTGTGACCAGTTATTGGTATGTGTGAGGGGTTGACTGGGAGATGGTGGCTACGATGGGATGGTCGGTTCTTTGTGGTGTGGGGGGGTGTGCTCTCTCATCATACGTTTGCCGCGTTTCGGCTGCTTGGTCGGGGACAAGTAACGGGGGCCAGGTTTCCCCGGGGGTGAATTCGTTCGTTATTCGTTTTGGTTTACCTTACAAGGTTTTGGTTTCGGGCCGTGGGAGTGTGGTCTGTGCCCGTGTCGGTTGTGGTGTTTGTGCCTTGAGGCTGTTTATTTTCGGGGGCCTGGTGTTCTGTTGCATTGTCTCTAGGCTGGTGTTTGTCTTGGAGGTTGGGCGTCCCCTCGGTCGGTGCCGACCCTCAGGATGGTGTTGGTCTGTGGTTTAGGGTCATGTGTCTGTCGTTGGGGTATTTCCTGTCTTGCCCCCTCCTCGTCCGGGCACACTTCCTTCTCCGGTGTCAGGGGATGGTTGAGGGAGGTAGGAGTGGTTTCCAACCCGGCCACCCGCAGGCGCCCACCGGGTCCCCATTGGGTGGGGGTGGGTAGCAGGTTAGGGTGTTGGTGGGCTGGAGGATTTTGTGAGGATGGGGGGAGAATGTTGAGTGCGAGAGGTGTCCGGAAGTTGCTTCAGTGCATGCGCCCTTCTTTCGTTGTGGTGGTTCTTGTCGAGATTATGGTTCAAGTGGGTTTGGCCTTTGGATGGGGCGTTTAGCTCAGTGCTGTTGTGTTTAGTTTTGGGTAGGTTATGTCCAAGAGGTCCCAGGTTCAGTGGAACGCGTTATATGAGTCGTGTATCTGTGCGGTTAATTCGTCTAGCTCGAAAGAGTTTCTTTGATCTTGTTGATGATAGTCGAGATTGTGGGAGTTTGGTGGTCGGCCCATCGTTCCGCTATTGCCCTTTGGGTTGCCAGCGTTATCCTGGCGGTTTGTTTGTTTTCGCTCCTGGTGAGGGAGTCCAGCGGTTTGTTGAGTAGCATCGTCCATGGATGTGCAATGATGGGTTTGTCGAGAATCTGTTCTATGAGGCCGCAGATTTCAGTCCAGAGTGCCTTGATTTTGGGGCAGTTCCACCAGCAGTGTAGATAGGAGCCAGCGTCGCCGCATAGTTTCTAGCATAGATTGTCGGGTTTTTGGCCCATTTTGTGGAGTCTCTGCGGTGTCAGGTACCAGCGGAATAGCGTTTTGTATGCTTGTTCTTTGTGAGTAACACATACTGCCAGGGAGTTCGTTGCTTCCTAGATTTCAGCCCAGTCGCTCGATTCCGCCGATGGTCCAAGGTCTCATTCCCATGCGGCGATGTAGGTGAGGTTGATTTGGGAGGTGTGTGTCATCAGGGTGGTGTATATGTTGGAGATTTGCCCTGGATGTAGGGGTGCATCGAAACACCGTTTCTCGAATGGTGTCTGGGGTGAGGTTCCCGCTTGTTTGATCATTGGTTGTCTTGCCAGGTCCCTGAGTTGCATGTAATGAAAATAGTCTGATGTTGTAAGTGTTTCGCTGTCTGGGAGGTCTTTGTAGGCGATTATTTCTCCTTGGTGGTATAGGTGGAGTAATCTGGAGACGTCCCTTTGGTCGAATGCGTGGAAGTGCTTTGAAACCATCCCTGGTGGGAAGAGTTTGTTGCGGTTTAGTGGTATTACCGGAGAGATGAAGTAGGAAATAGCATATTTAGGGTTGAGTTTGTCCCAGAGGGCTAATGTGTTGGTGATTGCTGGGGAGGTGGGTGGAAGAAGAGGACGGTGGGCGGGGGCACCCACATGTAGGATGATGGCTGGTCCCAGCCATGATGTCATGCTCCAGGTCCACCCATCTTTTGGTGCTCAAGGGTGCGTGCCATTGCTGGATGTGGGCCAGTTGGGCCGTGTTATAGTATTGTTGGAAGTTAGGTAGTCCGAGGCCCCCACTGGTTTTGGGGACGTACATGGTCGTCCTGCAGATACGTGGTTTTTTGGCCCTCAATATGAATTTGTCAATGGCGGCCTGGAGGTCTTTAAAGTCTTTTTTATGTATGGGGATGGGTAACGTTTGAAAGAGGTATAGAAACCGCAGAAGCAAGTTCATTTTGATGGTTGTAACTCTGCCAAAATAATACCCTGTTTTAAAACAAAAAGACATGTATTTAAATAAATTCTGCGCCAACAATACACACAAACATATACATATATTCACTTACACCAGGGCTCACAGTGGCTATATACAAATATACAAATATTCATATTACATACACATGCAATCATATACATCATACATGTTCACCAGCCTGAACTGTCTCTTTTACAGTATGTATATTCACCTGCAGG